TTTTTTTTTTTTTTTTTTTACAATTTTTTTAAGACATACAGCCATTAAAAGAAAAATGTTTCATGTATGGAATGTCAAGTGTCAAATGCTTTTTGTAAAATTTACATATACGACGTTATTAGTGTAAAAAACTTGTAAATATATTTAGCCTTTTTCCCATTTCTCACACACTTTTGGAACAAAATTTTGTTGATAAAGGCCTGTTCATGAACCATTGCAGTGCAGCATAAAAATTAATTACCTTTTCTTCTGAAAATGAAAGTTTATGCAAGTTCATATCGGAGTAATATTTTTGTTGTTTTGGTGTTATTTTGTTGGAAATAAATATGTAGGTTTCGTAAACTGGGACTTTTTTGAGCAATCCGGAGTTATAAATGCAACAGAATTTAATAAATTTTTTGTTTAACTGTATTAAAAAATTATTAAGCTATGGCTGTTTTATAAAATACAGATTCTTTGCGTCCAAAAGGACCCAAATTGTGAAAATAGTATACAGATTTTGAATGCATTATGAACACAAATGGTAAAATCTCTGTTTGGAAGTGACCCTCATCATGAATCAGAATATAATGCTAATATCCTCTCTCTTATCGTGGCAGGCCATCACCCATGAGAATGGAGAGGATATGGTGGTGCCAGGCTTGTACGCCTGCGGTGAGGCCGGCTGTGCATCGGTGCACGGTGCAAATCGTCTGGGCGCCAACTCACTGCTGGATCTGGTTGTGTTTGGACGCGCTTGTGCCCTGACCATTGCTGAGACAAACACTCCAGGTAGCTTCAATACACCCTGAAATGGTGAAGGAATGCCTGATAATTGCCTTTTTTTTTAGACACAAGACACAATCCTGAAAAGTAGTAATTTAGTAATTATTTACATATTTAGCAACGTTTTTTTACGTTCAGTTGTGATTTATTTATCTTTCTTTCTTTCTTATAGGAGAGAAGCTTTCCCCTCTGAAACCCAATGCAGGAGAAGCATCTGTCGGCAATCTGGACAAGATCCGCTTTGCTAACGGCAGTACCAGAACCTCAGAGATCAGACTGAATATGCAGAAGGTCCGTCACCTCACTGCAGCTCTTTATTTCTTAAAAGAATCCTAAACTTATTGACTGATCAACAGGATGCTGCTAGGAATTGAATCGAAGCATATGGTAGCCTCATCTTATGATTTAGGATGATCTCAAGTGGTTATAATAAAATACTAATTTCAAAATAATCTGTTTTGTTTTTCTTTTGGACCTCAGACCATGCAGAATCACGCTGCTGTGTTCCGCACCGGAGACGTGCTGAAGGAGGGTTGTGAAAAGATGGACTCCGTCTACAAGTCTATGGATGACATCAAGACATTTGACAGAGGTCACACAATTCAAATTTTCATTCAGCGTTGATTAAAAGTGACAGACGGGATTTTGTGTAATTCTGATCTTTCTATTCATCAAAGAATCCCATCAAATCATGATTTCCACAAAAATATGAAGCAGCACAACTGTCAGCATTGATAATAATCAGAAATGTTTTATGAGCAGAAAAATCAGCATATTAGAATGATGTCTGAAGGATCATGTGACACTAAAGACTGGCGTAATGATGCTGAAAATTCAGCTTTTCATCACAGAAATAAATTACATAAATGCATTCAAATAGAAAATAGTTATTTTAAATTGTAATAATATTTTTAAAATTGTACTGTTTTTACTGTATTTTTAATCAAGTAAATGTAGCCTCTGTGAGCCTTAGACTTAAAAACGTTTAAAAAAAAAACAATTTAAGAACTGACACCAAACTTTTGAACGGTAGCGTAATCATTTCTGTCTAATCTAAAATGCATTGATCTGCATTACTGTATTAAAAAGGTGTTATTGCTGCAATATGCAGGTTCTTATAGCATTTGTGCTGCTTTTATGTCTTCAGGCATTGTCTGGAACACTGATCTGGTGGAAACTCTGGAGCTGCAGAATCTGATGTTGAAGAAGGATCATGTGACACTAAAGACTGGCGTAATGATGCTGAAAATTCAGCTTTTCATCACAGAAATAAATTACATAAATGCATTCAAATAGAAAATAGTTATTTTAAATTGTAATATTTTTAAAATTTTACTGTTTTTACTGTATTTTTAATCAAGTAAATGTAGCCTCTGTGAGCCTTAGACTTAAAAACGTTTAAAAAAAAAACAATTTAAGAACTGACACCAAACTTTTGAACGGTAGCGTAATCATTTCTGTCTAATCTAAAATGCATTGATCTGCATTACTGTATTAAAAAGGTGTTATTGCTGCAATATGCAGGTTCTTATAGCATTTGTGCTGCTTTTATGTCTTCAGGCATTGTCTGGAACACTGATCTGGTGGAAACTCTGGAGCTGCAGAATCTGATGTTGAACGCGGTGCAGACAATCGTCTCCGCTGAGGCGCGTAAAGAGAGCAGAGGAGCTCACGCACGCGAGGACTTCAAGGTGAACTTTCTGAAACCAGCATGCTTGTCTCAGGACATCATTTTGTAAATTTACAAAGTTGAGTTTTTAGTGCTCAGTACGTTTTTTTTTTTACCTGGTAAAAATGACGTCTTAGCTTTTGAAAATGTAAATGCTTCGTTACATTTTTTACAAATGGGTGTGTTGCTTCCAGCTCTCTGTAATTTGTAGTCTTGCAGCCTAAAATAATAGTTATAGGACTCAAGATGTAGATGAGTTTGTTTCTTCAACGGAACAGATTTGGAGAAATTTAGCATTACATCACTTGCTCACCAATGGATCCTCTGCAGTGAATGGGTGCCGTCAGAATGAGAGTCCAAACAGCTGATGCACAAGTAATCCACACCACTTCAGTCCAAGTGAAAAGCTGTGGATAAACAAATCCATCAAGACGTTTTTAACTTAAACCGTCAATGCATTAATGGATTCGTTTTACTTCGTAAGACATTAATTGATGGACTGGAGTGGTGTGGATTACTTGTGGATCATTGTGGTGTTTTTATCAGCTGTTTGGACTCTCATTCTGACGGCACCCATTCACTGCCAGAGGATCCATTGCTGAACAAGTGATGTAATGCTACATTTCTCCAAACCTGTTCACACGAAGAAACAAACTCATCTACATCTTTGATGGCCTGAGATTGAAAGCATCTTCTGCATATTTTCATTTTTGGGTGAACTATTCCTTTAATATGCATCGCAGTGTTAAAGCCAAAACTGTTATGTGGATATGTTTTTTTTGGCTTAAATGGTTTTGTTATGCTGTTTTTCTTACAGGACCGTGTGGATGAGTACGATTACTCCAAGCCTCTGCAGGGACAAGTGAAGAAGCCTTTCGAGCAGCACTGGAGGAAACACACAATGTCCTACGTGGATCCCAAGACAGGAAAGGTAAATATATAATGAACCTTTTAGTTCATTGTGAGAGTGTTTTGCCATTGTTACCTTTCCCTTCATTTGTTCACCTTTAAATCTTTCTTGTTAGTCTGCATACAGGAAGAAGGAAGCTGTATGTAAAAAAAAAAAAAAGCGTACGTTAATATGAGCTAACATGTATAAGCGTGTGTTTCAGGTTACTCTGGAATACAGACGTGTGATTGACAGCTCTCTGAACGCAGATGACTGTGCTGCTATTCCCCCTGCAATCCGTTCCTATTAAACACGTCCTATTGTGCCCCAGCTGACTTTGCCCTTTTGCTTATTTATAATCAGCCAATAAATAAATGAATATCTTGTTATTGACCGGCTGCACTTTATTTAAATGCGACCACAGTAAGACTCGAATATCTCAAAATTCGAACAATAAAGTTGAAATACCACTGCACTAGTCAGGCTCCATGAAAAAGATTCAACTGTTCTGTAACTGAAGACAATAATAACAGCTGTGTGATCTTTGTGTGTATCACAGAAACGCATCCCTCACATATCCTCTAAACTGTGCTTGCAAGTAAATCATTACATATTTAGCATTTAAATATTGAATGGTTGTCAAAGTTTTTTAAAAACACTTGCACATTGTGGAAAATTGATTAAATTAGTCAACTCCTTAACTTAGCAGTTTATAATGCTAATGCAATGTACGGTTTCATATGTATTTGACCTTGTGGCCTTTCATTCTTAAAAATACTCATAACTCATCTGTATGTAAAGTTCTGTACATCTTGCATGTTTTGTTTTGTAGGTTCTGTTTAAACTCAATAAAGATGATCCGGTGATAATGATTGGGACTGTAATATTGGCTAAAATGTATTCGTGTTTACTGGAAAGAGAAGATTTGTTGGAGAGACTGGTAGCTTACATGTTTAAAATTTGAAGGTGCAGGGGAAAAAAGTTTTTGTGTTGACATTCTGAGAATTAAAAAAGAGAGACTTTTTAGCTGTTGTAAAGTCCTCTTGCCTGTGGATGGCAGCTGAGTTCACAGAAAAGCTCAGGCTAGTTATTGTGAAAAACTGCAATGACAAGATTGTGTCAACCAAACCAGAATTTGTATTATTTTTACTCCACATTGGAAAATTAATATATTAAATATATATGTATATTTATATATTATGAACAATTAACATTGTTATTCAGATAAATAAGCGTGAGGTACAATCTCGAAAGTGAGTGTTCATACAGATGTGAACATGTTATTTGTTTTATACAAGTAGTTTAGATGGGTCAAAAGAGCAGTTTCACACTTTTGTAATGTAAGCCAGTACGTTTGATATCATGTACAATGCCATTAAAATGTAAGGGGTCTGTGAGATTTTTAAATGTTTTTGAAAGAAGTCTCTTTTGCTTACCAAGGGATCCAAAATACAGTCAAAACAGTAATATTGTAAAAATGTATTACAATTTAAAGTAAGTGTTTTCTATTTGGATATATTTTTAAATGTTATAGATGCGTATTATATATATATATATGCTTGCTGTGGAGTCGAGACAATTGCAAATATGATTAAAAAATGAATATGACAAAAAACTACAGAATGTCACATTTTATTATTAGCTGTTTCAACACATACGTGTTTTAACAAAACAAAAAAAACGGACAGCACTTTTAGAGTTCATCCCACTATTTGATGTGAGCATAAGTATTGGGACAGTTGAACTTAGGGCAGATGTAAAAGATTAAAAGCTAATATTTAGTTGCAGATCCCAGATGCAATTGCAAATGATGCTTAGGATCATTTGCAGTTCCCTTTTTCTCCGCACTTTTGCTTTCCCATCACTTAGATTAAGGTCAATCTTTATTTCATCTGTCCAGAAAACTATTTTCCAAAACTCTACTGGCTCACCTTTGTGCTTTTTTAAAAATCTTTCTGGTTTTGGTGCTGATCAGAGGTTTGCATCTTGCTGTAGCCTCTGTAATTCTGTGTCAAAGTCTCCTGCGGACAGTAGATTGTCAGAGCATCACCCCAGCTTTCTGGAGGTGGTTTTTAAATCTTTCTGGTTTTGGTGCTGATCAGAGGTTTGCATCTTGCTGTAGCTTCTGTAATTCTGTGTCAAAGTCTCCTGCGGACAGTAGATTGTCAGAGCATCACCCCAGCTTTCTGGAGGTGGTTTCCAAACTCTTGATTTCTCCATGGCCTTTGTTTTTGCTATGGCTCTAATTGACTTCCTCTTTTATTTTAGCATCCAAATTGCTTGCTTTTCTCTCAAAGTCAGATCCCTCATCTTCATCCTGGTTTGTGTTTCGTCATCAAATGCAAGACTGAGAATGCAGAAGCAATGGATATAACTGATATGACACATTCCCTGCTTTTAATCTGAGAATTAATGCAACAGGACACTCAGAAAGACCTGTGAGGCAACTGTCCCAATACTTTTGCTCACATTAGATAGGGGGATGAAACTCTAAAAGTGTTGATCTTCATAGTTTGGTAAAACATGTGTTGAAACACCCAATAATAAAATATGACAATTTGTAGTTTTGTCTCATATTCATCTTTTAAACATACTGACAGATTTCTTGACTCCACAGGAAACAGAGCAATTTTGTGTTTACTGTTCCTATACTTATGGAGGGCACTGCGTGTGTGTGTGTGTGTGTGTGTGTGATATATATATATATATATATATGTATGTGCTTCAAAATTTGCTCTCATGAAAAATAATAAAATAAAACCATTTAAAAACAAAATAAAGATTTTTGTTATTTTAAGTAGAAAAAATTTCTATAGTTTCATACAAAACTCGATTGGTATATCATTACGTAAACATGTTTATGCGACACACATTTGTAGACTCATCCAGCAGCAGTTATATAATGTACTTCCAATGAAGAAACTTTATTTGGAGTTAGACATTTTGGCTCAACTGATCCTTTACACGAGCCAAAATGGCGTCAGTTTCAAAGCTCGGACGTAAACAGCTTCAGTTTCCTCTTCAGAAAGGAAGATCAGGGCAACTGTGAGAATCACACCGAGAAGATGGGAACGGAGAGTCGCGGCACTAATTAAGCCATTTTTAAATAGAAATCTGCATTGTATTTACTTAACTCGGTAGATGCTGCTGTTGTTTACATTTATTGACAGGTATATGTTGCTATTCCTTTGTTATAATAACCCTATGCTCGGTTTTCCGCTGTTTGTTTTTGGGCAGTAAATTGTGCCTGCAGAGTTATTAGCGTGCTAGCTAAAATGCCAGTTGAGTCGATTAGCCGTACTCAAATATAAATGCGTTTGTTTTTACACACAGTAACGTTACCTGTAAATTAAAACAGTGTCGTTTACTAAAACGATATTAAGGAAATTATGTGGACGTTTTAAGCAGTTTTGTAAGGTGAAATGTGGCTTGTTTAGTTGGGAAATATAAGCTATGTAGCGAGCTAATCCGCTAGCCGATACAGGGAAATTGCATTTTGCACATAATCAGTCCTGTTTTATCGAACTAATACTATGCAGTATACATTGAATCTGTTGTATACAGTTCATATGCGTGTAAGAAGTCACGTAAAAGACCATAAAAATAAACCTTTCTGTCATGTCTACACGGAAATGCAATATAACTCGCTTTGAGGCATAACGTTAGTGACGATTTATATTTCTCGTGTTTGTAGTTTAAACGCCATTAAGTGTCATTCACGCAGTGTTTTATAATCTGCAGGGATAATTTAGGTTGATAAAAGACCCAGGGGCCCGGGCCTCAGTCCGCGGTTTTGAGTTGAACAGTCATCCGACATCAGAGAGAGTGAGTCGGTGTGAACAGCAGAGCCCTGCTGCAAATCATGGGCGATAGTAGAGGTGAGACGGTTTTGATTTTTAATGCACATTTGTGAAGTAACACATGTGAAATGTACACTAAAAAGCTGTAAACTTAGATTTTAATATGACTGCTTCAAAGTTATGATATTCATGATAACCATGTATGATGTTCGTTGCCACATCATACATAAACAACCGTTGTTCGTTGTTTTTGTATATTACCAGAGTAGTGATGTTATGATTAATACTCCTCCAGTTTGTAGACCTTGGTTTAGCAGTGTTTCATGAATGTTTTGTTATAAGTTTAGGTAGCTTGGTTTCAGTATCAGTTTCTTTAACTTTGCATGTATGTAAAATATATAGTTTTTTTCCCCCTTGAAATATTTAACAATAGCTCAACATCTTTTAAAATGATTGGCCACTCTGAATAAACTTATAATATTTACCTCTGTCCTCACAGATTCTCATAGTCCAGACAGCTCATCCGTTTCGTCGCCACCATCAGGTCAGCGTTCGCCCTCGTTGGCCCCTTCAGCCGCCTCCATGACTTCCCTGCCACCCATCACTTCGGCCATGAACAGTCCCATCAGCAGCATGGGCTCACCTTTCTCAGTCATCAGCTCCTCTCTGGGTTCTCCTTGCCTTCCTGGAACTCCCTCGGTAGGCTACGGCCCCATCAGCAGCCCACAGGTGAGCACTTCCATGATAACACTTCTGGTTTTCCTCCGGACTCGACTCCCTATATTTCACCAATAGGCCTGTATGTGCGCTACGAGACAAACAGTCCAGCTTGTTTGGTTTCCAGTTCTGCCATCAGGAGGTGAGTTAAGTTTTTTTTTTTTTTTTTTTTTTTTTGTGTTTCCTGTATATTGCTTTGTACATGAAAAGTTTTGAAGTCGTGTACACTACATTTCAAATGATAAGGGCCAGTTGGATATATATATTTTTTAGATTAATAAGTTTAGTCACCAAGCATACATTAAGTTTATCAAAAGTGTCAGTAAAGACACTTATGTTACAAATTATTTCTTTCAGGTAAATAGTTTGAATTTTCTATTAATCAAAGAAGCTTGAAAAAAAATCATGGTCTCAACAAAACTATTAAGCAGCACAAATGTTTTCAGCATTTAGCCTATAATAAGAAATGTTTCTCAAGCAGCAAATCAGCATATTAGAATGATTTCTGAAAGATCATGTGACACTGAAGACTGGAGTAATGATGCTGAAAATTCAGCTTTGCATCACATGAATACATTTAATAATAATAATAGAAAAAAAATATATATATATTAGTGCTGTCAAAATTAGTGCGTTAACGCAGGCGATTAATTTTTTCAGTTTAACGCGTTAAAAACCTTTAACGCAGGGGCGGTGCTACGGTTGGCCACCCCACTCACAACTGCTGTTTCTGTCTTTTTTTTTCGTGACAAGAACCATAGTTTATTTAAACGCAGAACGTCTTTATGACCACATTAAACTGGAGACGTTTTAGACGTGCGCTCCAAATTTACCTCAGTGCCAGACACGAGCGTAGAAACGGTACTGTGCTCATAGCGCGTGCTCTTCAATTGCACCACAAATGCGCATGCGCTGTAGCCTGTATCATTTCATATCAAATCGCGAAAGAAACTACGAGCATGCAATGTCGTAGTTATGTGGCCAATCATTTTAAACTAAATCAATTAAATCTCAAGAGTTTTTAATTTCCTGGTTAAATAAAGGTAAATAAAAAAATGTCATCAGTTAAGTCATGAAGTTACCAAAAAGGCAATTAAAGCTGCCTTAAAACTGTGCATGTATGTATTTGTTTTATGAGTCACATTTAAGAACATGTCTCTGAAATGCAGTGGTTTTCCAAATTGTCCTGGAGCATCCAAGCACTGTCTCCCTCACCTAACACACTCGATTCAACTCATTAGAGACTTTAAGAACTGAAGTGGGTCAGAATAGGTAAAGAGATGCGGGTCAGATCCACGTCACGTTCAGCATCGGCAGCTCTTAAAGGGACAGCAGACAAAAAAAACTAATAACCAGCTGCTGTGATGTCTGGTAATCAAAGAAAAAAAGAGGAAATCAATAACTTTTGTAGCTTTAAGGATTCATCTATATTTAATTTAAGTAGTCTAATAAATGTTAAAATTGATAGCTTTGTAATGTTGAATGGCTAATCAATAGTTTTTCCCCCTAATATTTAACTATTTCATAGAGACATCAGAGTGATACTGGCCTTCAGTAGGGTTGTGACGATGAGGACATTTTCCCACCGGTTAATCGACGTGTGACAACACCGGTAATACCGGTATCACCGCGGGGGCGGGGCGTTCCCTCTTTTCCTCGCTTTCCTTCGCTTTTAAAGCTTGTAAAAGCGGTGTGCCCATTTTACTTTCACTTTAAAGTAGCGGCAATTCGGAGTAAAGCAATTGTTTATATATTATACATGTTTACTTAGGTATACAAAACTGGAAATAGGCTAAGTAAACATGTATAATATATAACCAAATAAATAAGAAACGTAGAACGTTTATTAGCAAAACTAATGTCAAATAAAATAAATAAATGACACAGTTTAAATAAAGTAAAAATCAGCAAACAATGTGGAACCAATTAAATAAGAAACGAATGTTTAAAAAAACTTCCAAAACCACCTTAGATAAACGGTAAAAGTAAACAGGCTTTTAAAAATCCAAAATATTGCCAAACAGGCGCTTTTGCATCTAGTTTCGAAACTAAATCATCCGCGATCGTCTTGTCTCTCTCGCCTCACTCTTTACAGAGTAGAGTACTAAAGAAGAAGGGGTGATCACACTCGCTCGCGCTGCCGTTATTAGAACGGAGGTGTTAGTATACAGTGATCTGTCATCCCACATCAAAGAGCGTCAAAATGGCATTTATTGTCTGAATTTCCTGAACAAATGGGACGATTTGTTCGGTACACATGTGCAATGAACCGAAAGACCGATATAGAAAATTTTCGGTACAAATACGTGTACCGTTACACCCCTAATATGTGTATATATATATGTGTGTGTATATATATATGTGTGTGTGTAAAAATACTTTTCACATTATATATAATTAAGTGCAGCCTTGGTGAGCAAAAGAGACATCTTTAAAAAGCATTACAACATCTTTTGAGCAGTAGAATGCAATGACTAGCAATATGTAATTAGACCTGAAAATTTTAAGCTAGAGGGAATTTTTTTAAATCACTGTTTATTCACAGAGATCATTTGAGTTTCCCTCTAAAACTGTTACTGTATAACAGACCATCTGATATTTTGACCTTAATTTCCAAAGTCTCTTTCTCTGTGGATCTAAACCTTTTTTTTTTTTTTCTAGTCTAAATTTGAGTTTTACCAAGACAAAACAGCATGGTGGAATTGTTAATTTTTTTAGCACCACCTCCCTCGCGCCACAAATTTTTTTTGTGCTCCTCCTCATGACTGCATTTCTGCTTCACAGATTAACATGTTTCGCAGAAACACAGAGGTGAGACCTTGTACCCTCTCTCACTTTCTGACTCTCCTCGCTTTCTGTTAGCTTCTCTCATGCATATGTCTTCCTTCCTGTGCTGTTGCTCATAAATGTTGAAATGTAGTTGTCTTTGAATGATTAAAGTCTGTTGAGGGGTTGTGTTCATCAAAATACAATCAAAATCAGATTCTTATGGATTGATCATTTACCTGTGCTTAAATTGAGAGCTAATCAGGCATGTGTTACTGATCATAAGAAATTAACATGTATTTTTCTGTAATCTAGTTATTTGATATTTGTTTGTCACTAATAAAAATGAGCAATTCTTCATTTTATTCAACTAAAATATTTCTTGTGTTTTCTGTCACTTTATCTCTCTCCATCTCTCCACTCATTGCCCGTCGGTGACGCGGTGGGCAAGTGACGTAACCGGTGTTGCGGCTTAACACTGGTATCACCGTCAGCACCGTCTATCGCGGCAAGCCTAGCCTTCAGTCATAAAAATTATACAAATATTAAAAATGTCTTTGTTTCTACATTCATTTGAAAATTGAATGTGAAGTTATTGCAATGTAAAAGTATTTTTAAAAACTTTAATGTTAGGTGGGACTAATCGCGATTAATTTCAGAAAAAATGTGCAATTAATTCGTAAATTTTTTAAAATAGATTGACAGCACTAATATATATATAGTTGTGTGTGTATGTTAGGGGTGTAATGGTACACAAACATGATGGTTCGGTACATACCTCGGTTTTGACGTCACTGTTCAGTATGGTTTCGGTACAGCAGGAGGGGAAAAAAACTAAACATAAATTTTTTTTTATTTAACTGTGGTTTACTGAACAAATTGCTTTCTTTAAATAAAATCAATGATAATTAAAAATTAAAAAATCTTCCTCAGCTTCTGCTCTAAACTATAGGGAGCCCTTTTACATTACTATAAGGTTACTATCAACAACAGAGCCCAAACTTAAATTCAATTAGGCTACTATTTATATTTAGCTGTAATAATCAACTTATCAAATTTTTAAAAAATTATGCAAACGTACATTGTTTTTAAGTTAACTTATTTATTAACTTATACAATTTCTATTTGTTGTTGAAATACAATAATTTACAGAGTAGAGTACTAAAGAAGAAGGGGTGATCACACTCGCTCGCGCTGCCGTTATTAGAACGGAGGTGTTAGTATACAGTGATCTGTCATCCCACATCAAAGAGCGTCAAAATGGCATTTATTGTCTGAATTTCCTGAACAAATGGGACGATTTGTTCGGTACACATGTGCAATGAACCGAAAGACCGATATAGAAAATTTTCGGTACAAATACGTGTACCGTTACACCCCTAATATGTGTATATATATATGTGTGTGTATATATATATGTGTGTGTGTAAAAATACTTTTCACATTATATATAATTAAGTGCAGCCTTGGTGAGCAAAAGAGACATCTTTAAAAAGCATTAAAACATCTTTTGAGCAGTAGAATGCAATGACTAACAATATGTAATTAGACCTGAAAATTTTAAGCTAGAGGGAATTTTTTTAAATCACTGTTTATTCACAGAGATCATTTGAGTTTCCCTCTAAAACTGTTACTGTATAACAGACCATCTGATATTTTGACCTTAATTTCCAAAGTCTCTTTCTCTGTGGATCTAAACCTTTTTTTTTTTTTTCTAGTCTAAATTTGAGTTTTACCAAGACAAAACAGCATGGTGGAATTGTTAAATTTTTTTAGCACCACCTCCCTCGCGCCACAAATTTTTTTTGTGCTCCTCCTCATGACTGCATTTCTGCTTCACAGATTAACATGTTTCGCAGAAACACAGAGGTGAGACCTTGTACCCGCTCTCACTTTCTGACTCTCCTCGCTTTCTATTAGCTTCTCTCATGCATATGTCTTCCTTCCTGTGCTGTTGCTCATAAATGTTGAAATGTAGTTGTCTTTGAATGATTAAAGTCTGTTGAGGGGTTGTGTTCATCAAAATACAATCAAAATCAGATTCTTATGGATTGATCATTTACCTGTGCTTAAATTGAGAGCTAATCAGGCATGTGTTACTGATCATAAGAAATTAACATGTATTTTTCTGTAATCTAGTTATTTGATATTTGTTTGTCACTAATAAAAATGAGCAATTCTTCATTTTATTCAACTAAAATATTTCTTGTGTTTTCTGTCACTTTATCTCTCTCCATCTCTCCACTCATTGCCCGTCTCAGATCAACTCCACCGTGTCCATGTCAGGTCTGCACGCCGTCAGCAGCTCTGATGATGTCAAACCGCCCTTCGGTTTGAAGCCGATGTCCGCCCACAGCCCAGGGCCCATGCTCTCTCAGAAACGCTTGTGTGCCATCTGTGGAGATCGCTCCTCTGGTACCTCACTGATAAACACTAACCCTAACCCGTCTGAAGGAAACACTGAAACTAGTTTCTTTTGTCTCGTTCCATTAAAATGTTTATTGCTATTGGATAAATGTTATAGAAGTGTAAAATATTTAATTTAAATGATGCAGTGTTATCAATTGTCAGTATGTGTAATAAGAAGCTTTATTTTCACGTTATATATAAAAAAAAAAAATCCTATTAGTATAATAAAAAAATCTATATATACAGTACCATTTGAAAGTCTGGGGTCAGTACAATTTTTTAAATGTTTTGAAAGATGTTTCTTAACACCAAGACTGTATATTTTTTGTTCAGAAATACATAAAAAAACATAATGTTGTGTTATTTTATTTTAATATATTTTAAATAGTTATTTATTCCTTGTCATTAATCACCAAGACTGTATATTTTTTGTTCAGAAATACATAAAAAAACATAATGTTGTGAGTTATTTTATTTTAATATATTTTAAATAGTTATTTATTCCTTGTCATTAAATTGTAATTTATTTCTGAGGCAAACCTAAATTTTCAGCAGTCATTATGTCAGTCTTCTGTGTCATACGATCATTCATAATCTTCTGAGAGCTTAATAATTTTGTGGAAACAATTGAACAAAGTTCAAAAGAACAGCATATATTTGAAATATAATTTTTTGTAACATTATAAATATCTTAATCTTATCTATGTATCCTTGCTGAATAAACATGAATTTTTATTTAAAAGTATTAAAAACTTAATGACCTCTTTTGAACTGTTGTGTACAAGTAGTAAATAATCATGTGTCATGGTACTTTAGCTCTTTCTTGTTTTTATGTGGAACTTGATAGCTGCAAAAAAACAGCTGCAGAAAAACAGCTTTTCATTATATAACACTTATGCAACAACAATATTATGAAACTGTCAAAATTAGGCTCACCTATCTGTTGACTAAAGTCTTCCACCTCCATAAATTTGCCTCATGTCTCCTTTCTTCAGGCAAGCACTACGGCGTGTACAGCTGCGAGGGCTGCAAGGGCTTTTTCAAGCGCACTGTGAGGAAGGACCTGAGCTACACATGCAGAGACAATAAGGACTGTCTGGTGGACAAACGCCAGAGGAACCGCTGCCAGTACTGCCGCTACCAGAAGTGCCTGGCCATGGGGATGAAGAGAGAGGGTAAGAACAAGAACTCGCTGTCCCACCTAACACATACACATACTACAAACCCCAGATGAGAAACTCCTTACACTAGAGGTAAGAAGTTGTGATTGTCCCGTATTGGATTTACTATATTGGTCACAGTGTATATTTTTATTTATGTGAAGTTAATGCAGTAGAAAGTTCAGTGCTGTGCTGTTACGCATTTAAGTGGAGCAAGAAACACAAACTTGATGCTTATATATATATATATATATATATATATAGAGAGAGAGAGAGAGAGAGCAGAGTGGGTAATTGACGATAATGCACTAAAAGTTTTCCTGATTATTTACTCACCCCAAGGCCATACAAGATGTATATGACTGACAAAGACAGCCGGAGAGAAATTAAAATATTGGAGGAAAACATTTTCAGTGGTCCGAAATCTACATCTAGGCAGCTGCAAAGTAATCCACACTACCCAGCTGACAAATAAGGGTCTTCTCTATTAAAACTATCAGTCATTTTAAGAAAAAAAACAATTAACAACAAATGCTTACTTTGAGCCAGCTCTGCGATGCACATACACAACAATGTTTAGTTTGGCAAGGAACTAGGGATATACCCAAAAATTGCAGAGATGTAGGCTATTTTTTTTTATATTTAATTTTCTTTATTTGTCAGGTTTTTTTATTTTTATTTAATTTGTATTTTATGTAGCCTATTTTACAATTAATTTGCCTGCCCAATATATCTGTATATCACTAAGGAGAGCAAAACCGGGCAAGTGCTTTCTAGAATTATGGCAGACAAATAGACAAGAATGAGTAGGTATTGCAGAGACATGTAAATTTCAAGGTTGTTGGTGACTGTGAATGTAAAGAGGGCATTGTGGGTAGACATTACATAGACCTCACTGCACAAACCAGAGAGGAGAGCAGAGGGGGAGGGAGGGCTGTTGTCACCACTAACACCTGTCCCCCTCTCTCCCTCTTTTGTTTCCTCTCGTTCTCTCTCTTCCTCCCTCTCCTTCTGTAGTGGTCCAAGATGAACGACAACGATGTAAGGAGAAAGCAGGGAGGGAGGGAGGGGTGGTTGTGTGTGTATGTGTAAGAGAATGTGGGAATGGTGAAAGAATTACTCTGTAGGATATTAGTCACAGCTATTAAAGGGGCCGTATCATATCGTTTTTTCCTTGATCACTTTTTGCATTTTATTTTTTAAGATTGTTTTTTTAACCATTTAATATGGTTCAGTGTTTCCCACAGACTTGCACTCTATTTGTGGCGGCACTCTTCCCCCCCCATATATAAATATGCAATTTAATTTTCTGCCAGCAGGAGGCACTTTTAGAGCAAGAGAAAAGGGTTTCCCTGGTAACAGCTGTACACAAAGTGCCCTGCTCACAAATGCTGCTTTTATCAGGAATTGCATGCAAGATGAAATGAAAATGACATTGAACATTTTCTGAAGACAGTCGGTTTCCTTCAGAAATACAGTAATATAAAAACACCCGCACCGCGTTTTGTTTTTGAAACGTGCAGTGCTTATGTTTATTCAACGAAGTCAAAGCCTTTTGGAAAATCTGTTTGTGGCAGTCAGTTTTGATATTGTGGCGGGCCGCCACAAATAAATCAATGTATGGGAAACACTTATGGTTCTTTGGAACGATATTCTTAAAGTGATATGTTATCATTAGTACTGTGAGTCTTTGGGTAGACAGTGAATCGATTCGATTCACGATTCATAGGATTTCGATTCAAGAACGATTTTTGCTAAATCAGAACGATTTGATTCAAGACGATTCACAACTAAATTCGATTAACAATTTGATTGATGTGAGCTTTATCTTATTTTCATAAAATAAAATGCTACAGTGTTCAACTTTTCCACGAATGATGATCCTAAAAGAAAACGTGCCCGATATCTGTTTGCTATAGTAACAAACACAACTTTAATGCATCTGATTGACAGATGAACCTCGCACTCTCATAGCTTTTGTTTTTAATGCTGTGTTTTTTTTTTAATTTTGTGGTTATTTTCAGTTTAACAACATTGTTAAAAGTAATTTATCATTCAGTGGAATATGCTTTTAGACACTTAACTTATTTTGGCTGCTCAAAATGTGTCAGTGAGAGCAACGAACGGACTGCAAGCGCAATCCTGTGACAAATGGTAAACAGTGGAGCGCATGAAAGAGAGATGTGAGGGCACAAACGACGTTGTTCAAGGTCTCCATTAATTTGTGCGTGTAGTAATTTAATGTGTATATCTTTTAAAGCATTAAATCGCTATTAAAATCGCGATTCATTTGTTTCTTAGTGTTTTAAATTGATTACTGGCCGAAATCAACCATTCATGATTCAAAAATTCATGTTTCAAGATCGATGCATATGCATTGTCAGGTTTTATAATCAATGCATAAAGAAAACTAGTGAATCGTTACACTAGTTACAATTTTTCACATTGATGCTTAAAGTCAGATTGAAATGTTCCTAAAAAACTAATTAAAAAAAAATTTTAGCCACTTGTTTCTTATGTTGAGAAGGACATGCAGAGCTGTAGGTGCTACACCGCCAGAAATGACAAAACTTTGCTCTTGGGAGTTTTTTTTTTTTTAAAGTAATCATATCCATCCAGCTTTCTCTTTATTACTTAACTATAACTGGCCTACCAAGTTTCTATTACCCAATAGACGTTGTTGTGTAAATCATGCATCTGATGTGGCATGCAGAAGTTCAAGAATCTTTTTGCAGATTAGTTCAATAAGTACTTTTTTTTTTTTTTTTTTAACTAGGAACTGAATGTACAGTGTTTTCAAACTGTTATCCGAGGTCAAGGAAGATTTGATTCTGCATGATATGTCCCCTTTAAATGGCATTATGCAGCAAAAAATATTAGTCATGTGAGAATGTTGTTTTGAATGTGTGTAATAAGGGATCTTTGTAGCTTTTACTGGGTCATTGAAGAAGGAATGTCGCTGGAGGACTTCAGGGTGTGAATGAATGTGTTGAAAACTAACCAGGAACTACATGTATCTGTATATCTCTGTGTCTCTCTACACCTGTTTTCATCTTTACCACTTTCCCTATTCACTACCCCTTCTCTCTGTTCATTTTCCCTTTCCCATCATGTTGATCTGTCCTCCGCCCTATCCTTCATCTCTATTTCCCCGTCTTGTTCCTCTTCCTCATTTCCCTGTGTGCGATACAGCTGTTCAGGAGGAGCGTCAGAGGAACAAGGAGCGGGAGGGAGAGGTGGAGTCCACCTCCGCAGCGAACGAAGAGATGCCCGTGGAGAAGATTATGGAAGCAGAGATGGCCGTGGAGCAGAAGACTGAGCTGCATGCAGATGGCAGCTCAGGGGGAAGCTCTGTAAGTTACAGATAAGCACGATAAAGAGGATTTCTGATCTTTAGTGGCAGGATTATTTGTTACGTGATGAAGAACTTCAAGGTGATTGGGCTCTAATTGTGGCAGCCCAATGACAGCAAGCTGGTGGACTGATTAAGGACAGGAAGTTGCATATTGGAGCTTTTAGCTTTGAAACAGCTTTTTGTCTGAGACAGACTGCTTGTATATCTAGCATCATCTCCAGAGTAGGGCTGGCAGATATGGCCAAAAATATAATCTATAACAAACAATAACAATATTTTTTCCCATATCATGATATCAATATTTATTGCAATATTAATTTGTTTATTCACAGTCAGACTCCACAGAGTAACTACTTTTTAATTTAGGGCCACATGAAATCCATTTTAATTTTTCTATGTTCTGTGTTTTATGATTTAATACAAATTTAACATCAAAAAGGGTATCTAATGAAATTAAGAAAGCTTTAACAATTTCATCAATCTTTGAAAATGGAATCAACTGAACATTAATAGCAATTTACTACAAAGCATTATATTTTTATTTTTGTCAAAAGATTATGCACAACAGAGCTGTATAAATTAAAACATGGATGAAACATCTTGGTTGTATATTACTTAAAAATAATAATATTACTTTCAGAAGTTCATTTGGTATGCAGTACTAATACATTTCTGTCATAATTTTTATCAAGTTAAACCAAACTTGTATTTTGGCAGTTTGTCATGAAGATCTTACACGGGACAACTTTTTGAGCAATTTCGCTGGGCAACTTTTTTTGAGCAATGTTGCTTGGGCACTTTCCCATTGCCCCGTGCATCATCAGCCTTAAGAGTTTCAGTGGTTTGATGGCAGTATTTGTCAAATGAAACTAGGTATGTCAATTTTCAAATATTATTTCCATGATTGATCGTCGTTTAAATTAACGATCAATTAATCGATTAAAGGGGTCATATGATGCTGCTAAAAAGAACATTATTTTGTGTATTTGGTGTAATGAAATGTTTATGCGGTTTAAAGTAAAAAAAACACATTATTTTCCACATACTGTACATTATTGTTTCTCCTCTATGCCCCGCCTTTTTGAAACGCGTCGATTTTTACAAAGCTTGCGCCCTACACTATAAAATAGCCGTATTATAAATATTTTAAGCCGCGGCTGAAATTGTCCACAGAATTAGTATTTTCTGTACAGTGAATGGCACGTAATGCTAAGCATTTCAGGGGACCTTTAATACTGCTAAATGCGTCTATTGCACTGGCATATATGACAGGATGTGCAAATGCCACTCAAAACGCAGGCTTCCTCACCTGAATTAAAGGGGGCTTTAGTCTAAATAAAGGCTAGTAGCAGGACTATAAAATGAATGGATGTGATTATGATCATTTGATAAAATGAAGAAAGCACGCCGTAGTTACGTTTGGGATCATTTTACTTTGTTGGCTGTTTCATATCCCGTCACGGAGACCGCTGAACGAGCCTCTTTAAATGGTTTCATGGTGCTCGTTGTTGTATTTTAAAACACAATTGCAATGTTTGCAATTGACATTATTGACATTTAAAATAAAATTATCCCAAACTTAACTGCGGCACTTGGACCTGTACCGCACGGTCAGAGAACCGCTTCCACCGGCGGCGCTGCGGCAAAACACACTGTTGCTCACATGAAACACTATAATGACACAAGTGAGGTGCAAAGCTTTGTTTATAAGAGAAATAGGCCTAATGGGTTTGCAGGCAAATGTTGCATCGCTTTTGCATTCATGTTGTTCGATACATTTAAAGCCATACTTGGCTTTGTGTTCTGTTTTGCCAGTTGGTCACAAATTTCCAGTAATTTAATAATATTTATTGTTTCTTTTCCCAAATCCTCACCGTCTCACCCTCTTAACCCTCGCAGGTTTATTTTATTGTCGTTCACTTTTAATTACTGTTTTCGCATCTCTTACTCTAAATCTCTAATTTTAGTTAAATCATGGGTTTTCTAGGGAACAAATTAATGAAACATGTACAGTGGCCACAAATGAATAATTCGTAGGAACGAATTAACAGGTTGTAAGAATGAATTATATATATATATATCTGTCCTGCTCGTGTCCCGCAGAGCCCAATATGAAACATTTATCTGGGGAAATTATAATTAAACATGACTTGTTTATTACATTTCAATACAAAATAACTTTGTGTTGTTTCTGTTTTAATGTACTTTTAAACTTTGGATCACATTAAAAGCGTAATTTGTACGTTGGTGAATTAATTTCTCAAAAGATCCCGCCCCATCACCGTCACTCACAGCCGCTTGCACGTGTTTTGCTCATGAGTTGCACGCACCCCAAATTAAACCGCTTGATCGACCATCGATAGCTTTAATCGATTGCATCTCTTATCGACAATTAATCGAGCGTCGATTAATCGCTGGCATCCCTAAATGAAACGGTGAAAAGCTGGTGAAGTGACTCTCAGAGCAGCTCTGCAGATGAAGTTCATGTGTTCATGTACTCATTTATTATGTTGAGACATGCTGAAAAACACTGAGCGTCACGTGTGTTTGAGTTTGTGTAGTAGACAAAACTACATAATTCATTCACACAGAAACGTGTAGAACATGCAGAGTTATTAGTGACATGCACCGACTGTCTGTTGTCACGTTTATTTCTGCTGGGTGACAGGCTGTTAATTTAAAGGTGCTGTATGTAAGTTTTTGACTCTACTAAAGCATAAAAATACCATAATATGTTTGCAGATATTTAAGAAACATGCTAAGTTAACATACTTGTTTATCTGAAAAACAATGCTACAGTCAGTTATTCTCCTTTGAAAATGTGCGTTCCGGGCCGGAATGT